TGGGTAACTTGCTCAATTTTTGTGTCATTAATCTGCCAATTGTGCTTTTTATTCTTATTGCCAAAGACTAAAACTTTTGATTTAGCTACATTTATAGTCAAGTGGTTTGCAGTACAGTAACGTGTGAGCTTGTCAAGAAGTCTCCTCATTCCTATTTGGGTTCTAGAAAACAACACTAAGTCATCGGCATACATTAATACGTTAATAAATCTAGAGCCTATTTGGGGGATGTGCGTCAGAAGATCATCCAGCTGTGCTGGGATATCATTTATATAAAGGTTTAAAAGAGTAGGGCCCAGCAGGCAGCCCTGCCTCACTCCTCTAGTTGTCGGTATGCTGTTTGTTGAGGCCCCATTTGCTACATATCTGACTCTAATTGCCATATTAGTATAGAGAATCCTGATCAACAAAATAAGTCTGGGGTCCATCCCCATAACTTGTAGTTTCCTCCACAAGTGGTTCCTAGCTATAGAATCAAAAGCAGCAGTAAGGTCAATAAAGGCGGTATACAGCTTTTTCCCCTGGGTCTTGTATTTATTAATTAAGTGGGAAAGGACAAAACAATTGTCTATGGTAGACCTACCTGATCTAAAACCTGCCTGCTCATTTGCCAGAATTTCCTTATCCAAGCACCAGTCCTCTATTTTATTTAGGAGATGTTTCGTATACATTTTTGAAATTATATTAAGAAGACTGATGGGTCGGTAGTTGGATGGGGCAAAATAAATGGAATTAAAATTAGGCAGTATGATTACAGAGTACAAGCGTTCGCAGATGATTTGGTTGTTATTTTAACCCAACCATTACAGTCGGTTGTAGGTTTAATGGATATAATCAAGCAATGTGGGCAAGTATCTAGATTTAAAATAAATGCAGGGAAAACGAAGATAATAACTAAAAACATGACTACAAATCAAAAAGATGAATTAGAAAGATTAACAGGATTTGAAATAGTAAAAAAAGTTAAGTATTTGGGGGTTTATATTATGACATCAACTGCGAAATTATTCACGCATAACTATGATCCGTTGTGGCAAAAAATACAGAGAGAGATGGAAAACTGGAAAAAATTACAATTATCCTTGTTAAGGAAGAATAGCAGCAGTAAAAATGAATGTTTTGCCTAAGTTTTTGTTTCTTTTTCAAATGAAAGGTGGGTGGAGGAGGAAAGGGGGGAGGAGGGATGGGGAAAAATTGTTGTAATATTTGATAAAACTTTTTAATAATAATAAAAAAAGAAAATGATAAAAGAGACAAATTAACAAATTAACATCTTGAATGTAGGGCTAACCCCATTCTGCCTTTGTTCAGACCTTATTGCAGGGAATTTTTGCCTATGAATATAGCCATCTATTTCTTATCTCTTAAGTGCTGACATCTATTAAGGAAGGTGGGGGCTACTTTCTCCCTCTATGAAAATATGTTTCTCCTTTTCTCATTCAGGGAAATATATTCTTTTTAATATTTTTCAGAATATTTCATTCTGCTAGGAGAGGGGTGGGTGCTAACTTTCTACAATTGGTGCCATGTTACTATGCCATATTATTATGAGAGAAAACTATAACAAATTGTAAGGAGGATCCACTTATTATCAGTGAGCAATCATGTGCCTTGCCCACTCTGAAGCAATGCAAGAGACTCCCGTCCCAAAGGTGCTTTTTCAAGAGGCAACCTGGAAACCAAGAAAGTCCCATTGCCTCTTGAAAAAAATACCTTTGGAACAACCATGACCTGGATGACTGAAGAATCTCCATAGACAATAGACTCTTGTGCTCAGTGAACTGACTAAGCACTGAGTTTACCCACCTAGGAGAAGCAATCATTAGATCCATTTGCACCACTTAAAGATACCAGCTGGTCTCACTCACCTCACAAGATATCCTTAGGTAGTCATCCAGATTTAAGGAAAGATCACATGCCCCCAGAAAGGCAGTAAAAAAATCAGACAGAATGCCAAGCTTGCATCCTGCCTCTTAGTCATTTCTTCTATGGCTATGCCAACCCTTCTGTAAATAGCTGTTCCAGCCATGTTGGTAGTATAATCCAAAAAGCTTAAAACAACTCTTTAACAATCTTTAAGAAGGTCAAGCCCCAGGAATAAAAGTACCACAAAAAATTCGGGGGGGGGGAGAGGAAGTCTGGAGAAGCTCAGTCTACAGAGAGAAAGTCTGGGCATAAGGCTTACAATGTAACAAGCTTAACCCAGAGGTAGTTTCTGAAAACACTTAAAGCAGCAAGGCAATTAAGATAAGAATTAGGCTAGAAATACAGGCATACCAGAATATTTCCTTCCTGCATCCCTTGCAGGATTAGCTCTGTAAAGTGGGAAAAGATTTCTTCCAACAACAGGTTCTCCAAACTGCTCAGAAAATTAACATCTGGTTTGGAAGAACCAGTGTGAACCGATAGCAGCCCACCTCTGGCAGGCAGCAGTGGGCAGAGGTCCCATTTTGACCTCTCTCTTGCCTCTGTGCCTGGACTCCAGCCGAAAAGGCAGTTCAGCTGCCCCCCCCCCCCGCGCCTTGGCACCATTCCACCACCCCCCTGCACCCTCCCCAGCTGCACGCAAGCACCGATGCTCTGCTGCCCCCCTCCCCAGGCTTTAGGGCTCACTCTGAATCAACCCTTTCAGCCTTGTCTGGCCAATCACAAGTGCCCCTCGATGTGAGTGATGTCAAGTTGGCCACGCCCACCCAATCTGGTCACGTGACCACCCAGCCATACCAGCTGGCCCTTTGAGAGTGACCATAATGCTGATTCAGCTCTCAATGAAATTGAGTTCAACACCCCTGCTCTAGATCATTCAAAGTTCAGACTTTACAGTGCTGGTAGCAGTGTTTGGGCCATTTGGTGATGGAAGTGGTGGGTGGGGTGGATGGCAGCAAGGCAGTGGCAGCCAAGTGCATCCCATTTTCACAACTCTTTCCCCTTCCATGCCAAGCTTCGGGAGCTCTGGGGGCTCAAGGGGGAGGGAATGGAAGTCACTGGACAGTCGCTTCCCTGCCGCCTGCCCCAGCCACTACGGTCAACTCCAATCTCTTCAGCTTGGAGCTTGGCTGCGGCAACAGGGGGTATGAAAATGGGAAGCTCCTGGTCACTGCCACTGCTCTGCACTGCCACCCACTTGCCTGCCTGCACAGCTCTCCCTCTGGCTGCCTGTGGAGAGTTGTCCCTGTGGCAAGTTGGGCATCCTGCATGAATTGGCAGCAGTGACTTGCAGAGGCAATTTGGCAATGGAAGCTGGCAGGGGTGAGCTGACTGTACGAGCTGGCGATGCCCAGTTACCCACTTTGGAGAATAGGTTGACCCCCTCTTTTCTATGACAGCTCCTCAAATATTAGAAGACTGTTATCATGTCCCACCCAGTCTTTCTTTTCATTAGACTAGGCATATCCAGTTCCTGCAACCTTTCATCATACGCCTTCTAATCATCTTTGTTGCTTTTCTCTGCACTTTTTCCAGAGTCTCAACGTCTTTTTTGTATCATGGTGACCTAAATCTTGCAGTATTCCAAGTGTGTCCTTACCAGAGCAATATAAAGAGGTACTAACACTTCATGTAATCTTGTTACGATCCTTCTGCTGATGTAGCCTAGGACCACATAGGCATTTCTGGCAGCTACAGCACACTGTTAACTCAAACTTTAAAAAAAAAAAGATTTTTTTATTTTTAACATACATAAAACCATTTTCAATTGCTAACAGTGTGTCAGTTGGTTACAAGTCTTTTGTGCATCATTCACTAAATTCATAGCTTACAATTTACAGTTTACCTAGCTTCTCATATCATCGACCTAATATATATCTATATATTGTTATCCTCCTTAATCATTTATTTGACTATGGCTATTTCTTCCCTCATTATCATTCAAAATATTCTAATATTTAAGTTAATTTTTATTATAACATTCATTTCATCCTCCAACCATGTGTGGATTTTAGTCCAGTATCTTTTGATTTCTGCACATGTCCACCACATATGGTAATATGAACCCGGTATCTGATGACATTTCCAACATTTTTCAGATTTATTCTTGAACATTCTGGCTATTCTCGTCAGAGGTAGATGCCACCTGTAAAACATCTTATACAAATTTTATTTATATGCAGTTGACATTGTCATTTTATAATTTTGCGACCACAATTTTTGCCATTTCTCTAAGTCAATTCCATGTCCAAAATTTCCCCCCCAAGCAAAACGTAATTAAAAAACTATATGGATATTTATTAGAGGTTAAGTTGGAAGAAGAACTGTTAACTCATACTTAACTTGTTCTCCATTAAGACTTCTAGATTCCTCTCACAGTTATTGCCATTAACTAGTTACTACCTATTCTATATCTGTGCATTAAGTTTTCCTTGCCTAAATCGCAATTGGGACTGGAACACAGATCAACTCCATCTTTTGTACATGTGTTGTCATCTCACATAAAAACGAAGGAGCAGGGTTTTGGTAGAACACTTGTCATTTGGCATTTTGTCTTCCATGGATTTCCAAGGTGTTGCCTTGAAGTACTCCATAAGAAGGTCAACCTGCAGTCTGCCAAAACTGCTCTTGAGATGTTTCTCCTAGATAGGAGTAGAACCTCTGCATAACAGTTGTCTCCAGTCCTGAATCCATGGTTGCAGCCCAAAGGATCATCAGTGATATCAAAAACATTGAAATATCCAGCCAACATCATATACCACATTCTTCTGTCCATCTCCAGTAAAGCTCATCCATCAAGCAAATTCTTCACTTTCATTACCAAACCAGAACTCAGACTGAAATATATTTAGAAAAGCAGCATGCTCCAATGGTGCAATTGGCTTAATCGCTAGTACTTTGCCCAAGAAAGGGTAGTCATTATTACACTGAAATTTGACATTAAGATAGAAAGCCCTCGCAACCTCAATTAATGGGTTAAAGCTTTTCCTGAGCAGGCACAGAGGGCTGGTTGCTTTCAAGGAGAGAGAATCAGATCTTTAACAATGAAAAAAAATACAAACTCAAAATTCAGCAATCATCACCTTTATTGATTCCAAGCAAATCTGCAAAGGTCACATTCGTACCTCATGCATATCCCCCACTGAAAACTTGGCTGAGCCTTAGCGTGGAGAAGATGGCTATGTGGCAGGAAATGTTCACATAAAACAAGTTGGAATTTCACCATGATTCATAATTTTGCACACCTTGAATCAAACACTTCCACAGCTATTTGCAGATTCTTTACACTTGATGCAAAGTCCAACATGTATCAAGCCATTTATCATCAGCCTCTTTGTTCTCAGATAGAAAGTCTTGTTAATCATTTTTTAACATTCATTCCATATACTTCACATCAGCTCGTCCTCATTGGTTATGTGCAAGTGCAGTTCCACTAGCCTCTATTCTGGAAATACGGGATTCCTTTGGCCCATTTTATCACAGTCAGCATTATCAGACCAGCTGCAAGAACAACACAGATTATTGTAAATAAACCCTAAACTAGAAACAGCCCTCCCATGATACAGGTAATTCTCTCCACTACACCTCAGGTGAGCAACTCTTTGGCTCTCTAAAACCAGTAGCCACTTAGCCCTTAGATAACTAGAAATAACTATTTCCTGACTTAAAGATCTCAGAATTTCTGGATCTTCTCACTAGGATATTCTTCCCAATCAGATGGTCTAAGGATCAAAGATATGGATTAGGGATATGTTCTCCCTTGCTATGGTACCTTTCGACTTCTTAGGCTTCTTACCTTTTCCTGGATTTTTTACGCTTTGCTTTGCTTTTATGCTTTGCTTCGATGAGGCAAATAACAAGGATGATACTTATCACAAAGAACACAGCCAGGGCAAGACTAAGGCCCAGCACAATCTTTTGGATAGGGAATTGGCAGTAATTATTCAGATACCAGAACATGTCCAAATTATCGCAACTATGGGAAAGAGAAATGAATTGATAAAAAGAGCTTTCTTTGCAAGACTCTAAGTAACTTCCAATAGCAAGATTTCATTAAAGCATTGCATTAAAATAATAAAACAGAAACATTAAAATAGAATAAATCAATAGGCCTCACAACATAACTACCAAAGAAACTATAACTATCACATTCTGTTAACCTGTCTTCATAGATAAAAAAGGATTGATTTCATTCGGTTTTGGAACACTAGTAAGTGGGGAGCCATCCTAGCTTCTTAGAGTGGGAAAAAAGACAATGATGAGTCCTTCGGCTAAGAAACAGAGATGAGCATCGCCCTCTAAAGTCAGAAATAACTGGACAGGGACAACCTTTACCTTTCGTTTCCAAATAGACTCCAAAGCAGCCCCAACTAAAGGTCATTACTGTGATCCAAACAAGAGATGATGAAAGCACGAGAGACAATCACTAGAGTATTTTGTTCTAGAACACCATCTGGTAATTGTGTAACTGTGATGTGCTTTTTAATATTTTTGTCATATGCTAAATAAAATAAATAAATTTAAAACACAGGGGAATTAATGCTCATTTAGTATTTTATTCATTCCTAAAGTACTGCCCTCAAATCACTCTAACCTTGTAGAGTTTGTGCTAGAGTCAGTATTCCAAGAAAGCTCTTTTGAAGTTATCAACCAAATTATACTAGGATATTAATTCCTTTATTTTACACAATTTGATACTCCAAATACTGTATTTTTCAGAGTATAAAACGCACCTACCTTTTTTGGTGAGGAAAAGAAGAAAAAGAAATCTGCCTCTGCCTCTGAGCAATTTTGCCTTGTTTCAGCAAACAGCAAACAGGAAACAGCCTGCTTTACTTTCATTTTCATTTTCAGCATAGCTTGATTAGCACAAGGGGAAAAAAATCTGCTCCAGCAATTTACCTCTTTGCAGCAAGCAGTAAAGCCCTGTGCAAAACAGCTGAGAGCAAATCAGCTGAGAGTCAGGAGGCCGGTCCAATCAACTTGTGCTAATTAGCCTGTGCTGAAGCTGAAAGGAGCTGTTTTTTCTTGCTGTTTGCTTGCAAGGAGGTAACTGCTGCAAGGCAGAGGCCAAAGGGTAGGGGCCAGTGGGTGGGCGGGGCTACATTTGGTGTATAAGATGCACCTAAATTTTCACCCCTTTTAGGGGAGAAAAAAGTGCGTCTTCTACTCCGAAAAATACAGTAAATCATTTTACCTGCTTTTCTTATTTTCTTCATTTGTCATAGAATTTTACCAATTTAATACATCGATTGATCAACCCATTGGGATACCAGAAATAGCTTAAGTTTTTTCCTGAAGATCTGGTGAGTAGTTTGACTGAGACACTGCTTGGAATAAATTAGATGGCTAGAATGTTGGACCATATTGCCCTATGCAACCTCTCCCTGTACACTAATCCAAGAATTCACCTTGGTTTACCTAGAAGCACCGGGAGATGAAACATCAGTAGAAATATCTGGAGCGCTCACTGAAGTAGTCTAATGTAGTCAAGTTGACTACATTATCTGATCAGATTACTATATTAGGGATTACCTATTGGTGATAAGGGTGGCCAAATGTCAATATTTTCTCACCCACATTGCATCCACTGATAATTGTGCAGTGGTCGTGTTCAGGATCATTTGTTCTCAGTTAGGTAGGGATGGCTTTTCAGCAGTGGTGAAATTCAAATTTTTTTACTACCGGCTTGGTGGGCGTGGTGTGGCTTGGTGGGTGTGGCTTGGTGGGCGTGGCAGGGGAAGGATACTGCAAAATCTCCATTCCCACCCCACTCTGGGACCACCCAGAGGTGGTATTTGCCAGTTCTCTGAACTACTCAAAATATCCGCTACCGGTTCTCCAGAACCTGTCAGAACCTATTGGATTTCACCTCTGCTTTTCAGAACATCTGCTGGGCCATTGTGAGAATTATTCAGGCTATCTGATGGATAAAGTCATTCAGATCAACTCCAACATGGATTTTGATTGTGCAGGGCAGACCAAAGTGTCTGGGGTATGATCTGATGGTACAATCTGGATGCATTTGAGACCTTGACTCATGATGAAGTAGACAGGGCTTTTGCGTTGTTACTTTGGTCACATGTTTACTGGATTTGGGTTATAAAAATGGCCAAGGAGGTGACCTGTTGGGTCCATGCTGTGCTGTGAGGTATTTTGATAGAGGGAGTGATATACCTCCTGCCTCAAAAGACGCCCTTTTCTCTTATTGTATTTCTTCTTGTTTTTCTTCTATTTACTTGTAAACTGCCCAGAGTTATAGGGAGTCGGACATCATACAAATTTAATAAATAAATAAATAAACATTTTGATAACAACTATATTAATAACAGCTTTGTATGTAGATTTTAGGAAAATGTGGGATTTTGCAGGCCGAAAAATGTAGTGAGATGGGAGAACATCTCTGTTAGATCTAATAACTGTTCAAGATTTAAGATTTACATCCTAATGAACCTGACTCTAAAGGACTCCTTTCATACTCCTCCTCCTTCTGTCTACTTACATGCAGTGGGGGCCAATTTCAGAGACTCGGCAAACACCATTGAAGCAGTTTATGGAATCTTGAATGCCACTGAAACATCTCGAGACACAGCGCACAGTACCATTTGTTATGTGGGGATAATAGTATTCTGCATACTTTACGCCACTAATATTTTTACAGGTGTCTGGAAAAAAAGAGGTGCTAAATATATAATGAACTATGGGCAATACATGTAGGTCAAATGAACAAACTATACTGTAACCAACTATGATCTGAGGCAGCAAATTTGCTCAAATATAGCAAGATAATCCCATTCCCTCACCCTGCCCCATGTACTAGTTTTATAGCAGTTTTGAAAAATATTCTTCTTTGGCAGAAAATGAAAGATATCTGCACAATTATGATAGAACTACAACCTCAAAGAGAGATAATCAAGATGATTGTAAGAACTGAAACAAACAAATTTAGAAGAATTTATAGGTGGCCCAACTCTGCAAGGAAGAATTAAAGTTTTAATACAAAACAGATGGAGGGACTGAAAACTCATCTTTCTCTATCTTTCTTCAGTTCTTCCTTATATCCTCCTAACTACCATATAAATCTGTCCTTACAGTACATCTTTAGCTTTTTTCCTTTAGTTACTGTGCCATTTATAGTACAATATTTACTTAGAGCCAAATTGAGTTTTAGCAAAAGAACTAAGTCTCCTTTATATTTTCTTCATTCTTGTTCTTCATCCTTGAATTTTCCACTCTGTTTTACTATCATTATTCAAGTACATCCTCAACATTGCTGGATTCTCTCCCCCCCACCCCTAATTCTTAATAAATACTTAATAGTTACTGCTTTTTCTTCATTCCCAGCCTATTGTCAGCCATGTTAAACTTGTCCTTAGTTGTTCCAGTTTTAAAATAGTGTTTTTCCTCTTCCTTTTGGCACAATTTTTCTATAGGTAGGTTCTGACATACCTGTGTTTCCCCGAAAATAAGACCCTGTCTTATATTTTTTGAACCCTGAAATAAGTGCTTGGCTTTATTTTCAGGGATGTCTTATTACTTTGGGGCGCGTGGAGCAGGACGGGGCTCCCCTTGCTGTTTTACCTGATTTCCAGCTCTGTCTCCCTAACCCTAACTAGAGGAAATGGCGGGGACCGGCTGCACATGTAGTTAAATATTTTTGAGGAGGGCTTATTTTCAGGGGTGGGGGGGCTTATTTTAGTGAATACGCTCAAAAGCCCGATTTGGCTTATTATCCAGGGAGGTTTTATTTTCAGGAAAACAGGGTACTCTATCAACAGGTGGCTGCTGTGATGATACCCCCCACCCCAGAATATGAGGCTGAGAACCGTCTCCGTATTATTTTGCAAGAGAGACAAATCACTGGTTTCCTGAAAGTAATCTACCTTCAGGATGCTCACTGTCAGTTTTCAAAGTAGATACTGTAAGAGGGTTTTTTAGAATTATGGCTGTAGCGTCCTAGATAAAACTTAATGGGAGGTGAAATGAAGCCAAGGAATCAATCTCTTTCCTCAAGCTGTCTTACATTTAACAAAAATGACAGTATAATAGTCAGGCCTCACTACTCTGTCAGTGTCAGGACTAGCAATTTATGCTTATATGTTTTTCTGCTGGCTCAAGAATTGGCACTTTAGCATAGTTGCCTAGTTCCTAGCTAGAGAAAAGCATAAATGACAACATCTTTTAGCATGACTTGCACAGCTTCTTTTCCATCTTCATCTTGTCTTTGCCTCACTGCTAATGCTACAATGGGCATATGGTAGTTGGGGAAGACTTCATTGATTGGTTGATTGATTCATTGATTGATTAATTCATTCATTCTCCATGGATTTGCTCTGGGGGATCCCCTTAGCTTGCTAGAGGTTCCCCATGACTGTGCCATGTGATTGAAACTACAAGCTGATATAAAATAGTTAGATGAAATAGATTGATAGCAGTGGTGGGTTGCCCCCTGTTCAGACCGGTTTGCAAGGACCAGTAGTAAAACTGGCGGGAGGCTCCACCCACCACCCCAGATGTTGTCATCAGCGATCTGCGCATACGCAGAAGCAAGGTGCATGCGCAGAAGCCAGGTGCACGCATGCGATCCCGTTGCGAACTGGTAGTAAAGGTAAGTAGAACCCACCCCTGATTGATTGATAGATGGATTGGATCTATATATCATCAAATATTCCATGGACTTTCATTTATGTATGAAAACAAACAGTTCAAATATCCATGGCAGTGTTAGCACATTTAAAATGTGGATTGAACAATTAAGTAGTTTAAAAATATAAAACATAGTCCCAATAATCTTCACACGTCTACCCATCTGTTTACTGAAACTTACCGTTTAATGAATAATTTGCATTAAGAATTGAGTTAGGTAAAGAAACAAAGCACAGTTCTGGTCCTGGGGGGAAAAAGTATAATTGTATTCATTAGTTATCTGGGGTGATTATATACCTTGGTTTATTTCATCCAAAATTCTTCTCCACCCAAAAAAATTAAATAGGTCTTTTTAAACAACCCACTAAAGTGCAGGAAAACCATTAACTTTACTTCTTCAAGCCAGGATAGTGGAAACACGATTATTATCTTTGGTCCAAACTTTGTTTTATTCTGCATTGCAGTTTTCATTCTTGATGAACCAAGTACTATAAATCTCTTCCCTGCCCAGTAGAGGGGATCTGAGGCTGAGCCCCCCAAGATCTCCCCTCCTTTTCTCAGGCAAAACCTCCCGTATTCATAGCCCCTTGCCCCCAGAAGAAAAGGGAATTATAAGCACAAAAACATAAGGAATGAACCAAAGCTGCATTTGAGCCCTACATCTTCTGTCCTTTTGCCCCGAGAAACCAAGCAAACCAATCTGTTTCTTGACCCACATACACCACACCAGTTTTTTTGGGGAAAAAACTTTCCTCTGATTTGGGGCAAATAGAAAAAAAAGAATGTATTTGCTGCCATCTAGTGGCTATATTGAAATGTGCAAACCATCCGAAAGGAGGTTTGTGCCTGCTGAAAAAAAGGTGGCTCATCCTAAAAGCACTCTTGTTTAAAAGAAGAAAGAGCCAGGAATCTTGCTTATTTCTCACCCAGGAAAAACCATATCCAAGTGGAAGAGTTTACCCAGCCATACCATACCTGAAGGCTCAATACACTCTCCTTCGGTATGTATGTTTTTCAAGGCGTGTATCACTGCCTCTGTAATAATTTCCATTATATGCGGAATAATTTCCTCATTATTCCATATTAGTACTTGGGAGATGATTTTATGTTCCACAATAATACTTCCATTCCTAAAGAAAAAATGAAGGAAAAACAATTCCTCAGGTGCTGAACTAAAAAAGTTTTCCCTCCATGAAGGTATGATAAAGACTGTAATACCCCCACCTCTTTCCTCCATCAAATTCAAAATGAACTAGTACTTCTAGTCCTTTCCATTTAATCCACACAACTATTTTAAGAAAGAGCTTAGAATAAAAGTTTCAGACTGGCACAAAGTTCCTCTGGAAGCTTCCTGACTAAGTGGGATTTCAACCCTGACTTTAGTCTAACTGCTTTAATTTGCAAGATCATCATTGTTGGTGCTTCTCTTGAACAGCTATTTGATCCTCCTCAGATGTTTCCTGGAACACATGGTGACTGAAAGTATATATAAGACATGCAAAATGCCCAATCTTCAAATTCTCTAGCCGTGCTTGGTTCCTTCCCTGCTCAGGCCCTGAACTATCTACATTGTTAAAAAAAGAAATCTGAAGAAAAGTTGCTTAAACCAAAAAAGAGGATCCACAATGGGAGAAAAGTTCTACCCATATTCAAGTTCATTTGAGGGCTCATCATCCCAAAAAATAAATTAGTCTCTTTTTAGATACCCACCTCATTCGTAAGATCTCCACATCACGGTATCCAGGGACACCACCATAAACAACTTTCATCTACAAGGTAGAAAAAGTAAAAGAAAGCCTTTATAAACTGTTGGAAGAAATATCCTTCTGGGTTCAGCTCCAAGTGGGGAAAAAGACACTGGAGACATGGAGACTGCTTGGAAAGATGGTTTAATGGTGGACAGGATCACATGCTTGAGTTCCTGAACAGAAAAAGGGCTGAGATACAGCTGAGTCCCCAGGTTTTATGCTTTCTCTGGCTTTGAACTTCCTGGGGCCCCGAAAGAGTATCCTGATTGGTTGTCCGACTCCCAGGGGGTGGGAGTCTTATGCCATGTGGTGAGTTTCTATCTAGATGGGTCCCATTGTGTTAGTTTCTGTTGCTGTTGTGTTGCAGATGAAGGTCCATTGACAAAGATTGAGTTTCTGCCTCTGGCCCATTAACAAAAGGGTGGGGGCAGGAAGGTGGGAGCTGCTTTGTCTTTAAAAACATACTTCTCCATTTCTCATACAGGGAAACATAATATTCTGCCTTTTTAATATTTCCTAAAATAATTCATTCTTCCAGGAAAGGGGTGGGTGCTAACTTCCTACAAAACAAAGAAACCTATGCCAGGAAAGAGACTTGAATCAGAAGCAAGCTCCTAAAGCATTGAGTATGTGGTCTGTGCTATGTCTTGTCTAATTCTCCAGCTGTGCAAGAAGCAAGTTTTTGATTGGGAAGAAGTCACATTCTTCATATGAATTAGGAGTGCTGGTCTTGGTTAAAGAAGAGGGTAAGATACATTACATTGAAATGGTGACATTGATCACATGTAGGCTATTTCCTTGATCCAGTAAATCTTACCTGCTTTTTAAACTGAGCGTGAATTTCCCGAGAATAGCTAGAGTTTAAGTCTTCCAGAGATTTCTTGAACTCTCTGTTAGTAACCCTCACCCGAGCTTCAACAGTAATGGTCACAGATACTAAAAGAGAGGGAAAGAGATATTCATATGAACCTCAAAAAGTTATTTCCCTGCAGTGCAAAGGAATTCTAAAATGTGACAGGCAAAAGGTAGGTGTGTTCCCATTCTCCAACATGGTTTCAAATGCCTAAATCCAAAGATCCTCATCTGGTTTGAAAACTTTTTATTTCGTGATAAAAAGAAGCAGTAAATGACTAATCAGGTATTTTTGAGACAATCTCCAAATCCCACCTCCATGATTCTTCTTAGATTTAAAAAAAAAAAATCCTTATTTAGCACAGAACAGGCATATCTTCATGAGGCCTCTATAGCCATGAGCGGGGAAAACATTAGCTCCAAATTAATCATTTTAGCTTGGGGCGGGCAAACCACTGTAACCCATCCTTCCCAGATAGGTGGAACTTGGAATAGAGAGCTATCTATTTCTCTACATGTTCCTGGTTTACATGCACTATAATGGAGCTTCTATTAAGACACATTTTCCAAACTTAGTTCTTCCATATGCAATCTCTTATTCTAGTATGATAATCCAACCTATCTGGAAGCAAGCAATTTGAGAAAGTTGTGTTTTGTTTTTTTTTTAATTTGATTTATATGCCGCCCTTCTCCGGAGACTCAGGGTGGCTTACAATGCGCTAAGCAATTGTAAGTGTTAGGCTGTCATCAGGAAAAAATAATCAAGCTCTCCTTGACCATACTTACATTCAGTGACTGAAATTTCATCCTGGAGGAACTCACACTTGGGCCCATAGTATAAATCTTTATCACAGATGCATTTGGTCCCTTCAAATATTCCACCATTGTAGCATAGCTCTAGAAGAAAGAGACCCCCACTTATCAATGTAATTTGGGAATTGTCATTTTTATTTATGAAATGTCTGTCGCTTTCCATTGTCAAAAGAAATCTGGACAGGTGGCTTCTGGTTTGACTTCCGTCGCCTCCAGACGGTCTTTCGGGACCGCCAGCCTCATTGCCTGTAAAGAGCCGTCTCTACAGCTGAGAGACGGCTCGAAAAACTCCGTCTCCTCAAGGAGACGTGAGATAGAGCCAGTGAGGGCAGGTAGAGCCCTCTGCGAACTCCCCAGAGTTTTTTATTACTCTTGGGGAGGAAGCAGAATGTGGCTCCCCATCCAGCTCGCTGCTGCTCCGGGCTTCGACGGAACTCTGCTTTTTGCAGAGTCAGGCGACGGAATCAATCCATTCAATGAAAATCAACAGATTGCTTAAACAAATAGGATGAAATCCGGATTTGGGACCCTAAATCGCAAGTATTTCTAACAATTTTATAAGTGATTTTAAAGCGAAGGAGAAAAAGTTTAAAATGGTGACTGGCTGAGGCTTGAGAAGAAGAAAGCTGAAAGCGAAAGTCCTTCTGCCTGAATAGTTTAACACGTTACAAAGTAGCAGAAATAATAGCGCTGGCTAGAATTGAAAAGAAAAATTTCTATTTTATGTTTCTTCCTTTTTGGAGACTTGATATTGATATCGTTTGGAGAGAAGTCTTTTTCTTTAAAAAGAGTTTGTCTGTGTGGCAGGATGGCGTTAAAACTGATAAAGCCAGACAAACAAGCAGCGGGGGGGGGGCTCCCCGTTTTACAAACCATATGAACAAGTTTTGAACTTGCAGACTCAGAAGAATGGCTTTAAAGACCTAAAGGAATTTGTCTTGGAGGAGATGGCAAGACATGATGAGATTGTGAACCAGAATCTTGAAAAATTCAGGCAGGAAATTAAGGAGTTGGTACAACAAAAATATGCCAATCTGAAACAACAGATTGTAACAGCTTTGAAAACTTTTTCAGAAATAGTTATAAAGATGGATAAAGATACCAACTTAGAACTAGAGTCTAAAATGAAGGAAGCTGATCATAAGATTTATAATCTGGACAATAAAATACAAAGAATTGAAAATGATTTGATAAATATTCAAGACATTTCCTCAGAAGTAAAGTCTAAAAAGGAAGCTGATCATGAGACTTATAATGCAGATAATATAAAACAAAGGATTGAAAAAGAAGTCACAATGATGCAATACAGGTCCGTGCAATTTGCGGTCAGAATGAGGGGACTACAGGAAAATAATAGAGATGATTTGAGAAAGATGTCTGCTGAAGTTCTGGCTGTGATTTTAAAGGTTAGTCCTGAAGAGGTATCCTGTAAGATTGACAAGGCCTACAGAGTAAATTCTTGGGTGGCAAAGCAAAAGCAGTTGCCTAGAGATGTGGTGATTTACTTTACTGATAAAGGAATAAGAAATGATATTGTGCAAAAGTCTTTTAACTCCACTCTAGAAATGAACGGAAGGAAGATTTGGATATATAAAGAGCTGACGTCTAAGATATTAAAGGACAGAAAGGAATTTGGATTTTTGGTGACTGAGCTAAAGAAACAAAACATCCCATTTAGGTGGGATGCTCCAGTTGGCATAATATTGAGATACCAAGGAGAAAGATATCAATTAAATACCCTTTGAAAAGCGGAAGAATTTTACTACAAGGTTCTTAAAAAGGATTCAACATCTCCATGTAGACCATCAGTGTTAGGACAGGACGGGAATAAAGAAATGCGAAATGAACAAGAGATTGAAACCCAGGCTAAGCAGATGGAGATAGAGGTAATGGAAAAACAACAAGTCACAGAGGCCCTTTCGGACGAGTCACTTTTGGATTCTCCTTCAGAGGTTATAGCTGGATTATCTACAAATACAAGAGAGGCGGCTTTGGATTTTAATGTGATGTCTTATCAAGTTACAGACCAGCATGGAAATCAATCAGCTGATATACAAGTCCTAGAAAGGCAACCAGGATGGAGATCTAAACCACAAAAAGTTAAGAAGAGAAGAAGCAGGTCCTACAAAACTAAAAAATTTTAGACTAAACAACAGTTTAATGCCAGTTACTTAAGAGACGTTTAAATATAATAAGCGGGACTTATAGATGGATGATACATGAAAATATAGCTGAGGCAAATTATTGACTTATACTATTTTGAGAAGAATAACAGATCTCTGCAGTGCTGTGTTTTTGGGATGTGGAAGATGGGCTCCAACTGAGTGGATTGGAACTTTCTATTCTGGACTCTTTGAAAAATTGATTACGTATATGTTGAGCTATTTTCCAGCAAGCCGGGCTGGCTTAGGAAGAAATTTTTTAAAATTTTTAAATGTTTAATTGGTTTGTGGTTTTTTAAATTTTGGGCCAAATTTATATAGATTTTAATTGTTTTTAATATTTGTATTTCATGTTTTTAATTCTGGCTGTGCACCGCCCTGAGTCCTCAGGGAGAAGGGCGGTATATAAAGTGAAAATAAATAAAAAAATAAAAAAATAAAAATAAATAAGGCATGAGAACTATGGGATTGGGGCATGCAGAAGATCTGATTGTTACCCTAACACGGTGGTTGGAATTAATAATCTAGATGAAAGACACTACAGAAGATATTATATGGAATATAAATATAAAGTCACTCGGGTGGTTTTTTATACACGAAAATATTCATTACTGATGGGGGCAGATTGTAATTGAAGATACTGAACATACTGTTGGAACTAGAACTTGATGTTACCCTTACATGGGCGATGGAATTAATAATCTAGTTGAAAGACATTACAGAAGATATTATATGGATTACTTAAAGTCATTTGAGGATTTTGTTTATATATGGAAATATTTCTTAGTGGTGTGGTGTGGGCAGAAGATCAAAGATATTAAAATACTATGTATGGTAGACCTGTAGGAAAAGGGGTGGAGATAGGTTAGGTTACTGATTGTTTAGTTTAGGAAAAGGGATGTTAGGTTCAGATATTAATATACATAAAAAATTTGAATTAAGAGATATATGTATGGGGGTGGAGGAAATGGGTAGATTTTGAGTTGAATAAATGCCAAATTAGGATTTATTATATAGTTTTATAGCTGAAGGTTGCTTTGAAATGTATAGTATAAGGGGGATATAATAACAATGTTAGAAAGAAATGGTTAGCATGTGGGTGGTGGTGTAAAAGGATGGTAAAGTATTATTTAACTTGATATCAATGATTTTATCTTGAAGAAGCCATGGGGGGGGGAGGGTTAGGGTTAGGGGGGGCTAGGGAGGAGGGGGGGAAAGGGGGAAAAATTTGTATTTGAAAAACTTTTTCAATAAAAAAAAAAGAAAGAAATCTGGACAGTGTATAGTTCTATGGACACCTGGGTCCGTAGAATAAATCCTCATTACAGCGGCAATTGGTCCCATCAAATATTCCACCGTTGTGGCATATCTCTGGAACAGAGTGGAACAGTTCAAGAGTGGGTTTCAAATCCCGTCGCTACCGCTTTACTCATGGGTGCGTGCGCATGCGCGCAATGCTTCTGAGCATGCGCAGAAGCGTCCAGGCGGGTGGGCAAAAGCTCCCACCGCCGCAACTGGTTCGCCCAATCCGGGGCGAACCAGTAGCAACCCACCACTGGAACAGTTCCCTTATATAGATTTGGAAATTATAATCTATTCTTATAAAATGGCAATTTAAGCAGAAGCATTACTCTTTATTACATATACAAAAATAAACAAACTAGCAGATAAATGAGCTCACATGTATTCATACAACATCAGTTGTAACTGCTTTTCAATTTTTTCAATCTCTAAATTGATATTAGCTAAAAGGAATAGTGGGAAAACAGGTCAGTTTTTCAAGCAATGAAGTGGAAAATGTGGTCAGTTCAATTGTGTTGTGTTTTTTTTTTAAAGAATGAAAAGAGAAGTCTTGTATCTTGCCTTTTCCATTAGAAAATATTTCTCTGTTGCTTTTTAAATGTTTGAAGACTATTGACACTCCAAATCAGTACTTCAATCTCTCTTTATCACATTCATATTTCAAATAAATGATTCAAATAAACACCAAATAACCAAAATTTGGCAAAACATGAAAACAATTCATCTGTGATCATGGAGTAACCTGTACAAGCTAAAGATCATGAATGCTCAATGCTCTCAATGTGTTATTCCAGAGTTCTAGCACAAGGCAACCATGTCCCAAAGGAGATGTCCAACTTCCCAATCTCCCAGAACAGATGGGAGCTTTCTGTGGTCTTTCAGCTACTGCTGAAATATCACTCTCAGATACCCCAGCCAGGATTGCCAGGAGTAAGAGACGAGGGAGCAATCACTGTGTAGGGAAAGCCACAAGTATCATCCCCACAATACGAAGGGAGAATCACTTCATATGATTAGGCTACAGTCACAGGCACACTTACAAGGCAGTATTTTGCATAGAAATGTGATGAATAGTGGTTAATCCCATTCATACTCAATCTGCCCTAAACTGTACCCATTTCTTAAAAAAAAAATAAAAATAGAAGAGCCAAGCTATGCTTCAGACCAAAGGTCACCATACTGTGATCACAGGAACAGAAGAAAAATTTTGAAAAGTTTAAAATAGGAATGAGACAAGCAAATGAAAACTGATCAAATGAAAACTGATACTCACGACTTGTGGTAGTTGTGAACGCTGTGCTTGTAGTGCTAATAGGGATGGTGGGGTGTGGGGTGGTTCTGGTCCCAGCAGGGTGTGTTGGAGAGGTGCTTATTTCTCCTGAGAGAGCACTTGATGTTATACTTGTTGTGACAGTGCCATTGAGGGTTTCTTGAACAAGGAACTCACATTGGGGCCCATAGTATAAATCTTCATCACAGATGCATTTGGTCCCATCAAACGTTCCACCATTGTAGCATAGCTCTAGAAGAAAAAGACCCCCACTTATCAATGTAATTTGGGAATTGTCATTTTTGTTTATGAAATGTCTGTGGGTTTCCATTGTCAAAAGAAATCTGGACAGTGTATAGTTATAAAACACATAAATGTTTTATAACAATCCAAAGATAATGGACATCACAGAAGAATAGTAAAATCCTAACTCACATATTCTTAAAAAGAGCCTTCCACACATTCCCTAAGCCAGGAATGTGGCTGGGGGAAGAGCTGAGTTTCCAAGACATTTTTCTTTTTTTGGGAAAAAAGCTAAAATAGCTATTGTGATGAAGTAAGATTCAACTGCCAAACATTTACAGTAAATTCATATTAATAAACAGCTAATAAAAAAAGTTGGCATCATATTGCACTTTGGTTAAAAATATTTTAAACTTTGGAAGAGATGTTACTTGACTTCTTTTTACAAAAAAATGTATGATTTATAGATGAAGCAATCATATATAAACTAAGATGCCTATTCTCATGTTGCACCCTTTAGAATATGAGATTTTCAAACTATTTTTGACAGAGTTTATTGATCCAATAATATTGGTAGCTTAGATCAATTTATAATTGATATTTCATGTCCAATCTGATTATTCATTCATGTTCACAACAGCTCCAAAACTCCCCTACTCTCTAACATGTTTTTGAGACAGAAACTCTTTTAGTTTTTCTTGTACATCAAAATATCTTTATGGCTAGATAGACAGTTTTGGTTATATAAAGCAATTAATTACTGAATTATCAAGAAATAAAATGCAACTACAGAATATAGCTAAAAGTATTTCTATACCTTTAGTCATTCATCCCACTTTTGAAAATGCACAGAAGAGAATCTGCCTAAGATATTATTCTTGGGAATTACCTCAGACATTTAAAATTGCACCAAAATCAGCACAAACACTGAGTTATATTTAATTCGACTTTTCTGATTAAGAGACGAGCAGAAATAATTCTGATTCTGCATTCTGTTTGAAGAGTTGTTTATATCTTTGGCCCTACTCACCTGCTTCAACACAAGGGACAAGAAAGAAGAGAAAGAGAGCCCACGTCTTCATTTTAGATTGTTTCTTAAAAGCCTAGGACTGAATCCAAATCAATGTTACTCATGTGAGACTCAGGCACACTTGAGGACCTCACCCTGTTTCTTAAGGAAAGAAAGGTAGAACTGAGGACCTTGGACACCTGAAAGACGGAAAAGGAAAGCTAATCAGCTCACAGTGAACGGATATATTGTTGTTTTTTTCTTCTGTCACAAAGTCTGGGTGTGCAAGAAGGGCAATCAAATCAAGCTGGTACTTTGTGAGTCAATGTAAATGAGAAATGAGTTCCGGACTGACTCCTAAAGATTCAGTTCTTCCTTTTCAAATAATCAGATGGATAATTCTTTTTGTTCACAAGCCAATATAATGCAAGAGGAAAAACAAGCACATATATACCAAACACACATAACCCCTTTTATTTCATATCTTTTTATCTCTCATACCATGATAAACCTATTCTTACAGCAGATACAAATAGTATCAGGCAGTTTGATCATAGTCCTGGACAGGGTGTTTGTTTGCTATCATCCCTTTTCTTCGATCTGGAACATGGACGTTAGTGCTGTTGACCCCATATGATTCTTGGAAGGTTAACAGCAATGAAAAAGCTGCTTAAAAGGCTGGGACAGGACTTTAAAACAGTATTTGAAAGGTATTTGCTAAACCATCAAATAGATCTATTTACCATTTTATATGTGATTATTAGTTAGATTTATTTTCCTTGTCCGATGTTCAAAATGATATATATAGCATCCCCCGATTTTAATTTTTCCACATAACCTCAACCTTGCATGGCAGCCTGGGCTAAAAGAAAGTTTCTAGCCAAAGGTCATCAAAAGATCTTTCATTAGTGAAGGTGAATTTGACTTCACTTTGGAAATCTGGGCCTTATTACACATTGGCACCTACAGTTCAGTAGAATGAATGAAGGTTTCAAGCAACTATTCTCTGGAGAATATGCTCTCATAACATTCCTGAAAAAAGATTCATTCTGGACTACTATGGAAAATTTACATGCATTAAATCCAGTCATTTGATATTGATTAGAGCATAGCCAAATAGGTTTGCCAAACCCACCGCCACTCCCTGGTTTCTCCCAAACCTGAAGTCATCCATGAAATGCAACAAGACATTATATATCCACAAGCTATAGACATGGCTACACAGGGACACAAGAAAGAAAACAGCAACCTGTCTTAAAGCAGATTCTATTTAGTCATCTAATTGTATAGCCACCCATTTTACCAGAAGCAATTCTGGGCAGCATATATTATGGACGTGTATTTCATGGCTGGGTAGTAATTTTTCAACACTTCACTTTTGTGACTCTGAAAAACAGACAGCAGTGCTTCAAGCAGTGAAAACGGCAGGGCCTCCCCTTACCTGGAGAAAGTATGTATCATAATTCTTTCAGGACTCCTAAAAATGTTGAGCAGAAACCCTACAGAAAGGCTTTGGTCAGGCACTAGAGGGCACCGAAGCTATTCAGTACCTATGAGGAAAATGAAGAACTGGCAGAGGGCCTAAATAGTTGTCCCTACTACATTCTTCATGTGGTAAAAAATCAAAATATATTTCCCCAAAGTTGTTCCTGTTAAAACATCTTCCTGCTGGGAAATTCCTTATTTCTTTTTTTTCTTTGCTTGGAAAAAGCGGGGTCAGAGAATTAATTAATACAGAACATTTCTGTCCCCAGCAATCTAAAATTAATAGGTGCATGTAACATAGATATTTGTGCGAGTAAGATTGTCAAGCAAAATCAAGCATTTAATAGTGAGTGCCATACCAAGTGCACTAATCAAACAGGTGGCAAAAAAGTCGGGGCAGTCATGCACAAGCCAGGTTATGTAGACAGTAAACACAGGGTCAATCAAAATGGGCTCAAATGTCTATACACCAATGCACAGAGTATGAGTATTAGAAATTCAAGTAAATGAGGGCAGATATGATATTGTTGCCATTATGGAAACTTGGTGGGATGAAATCCACAAATGGAATATACAGCTAGAGCAGTGGTGAAATCTGAACCGGTTTGCCACCGGTTTACTGGCTGTGCATGTGGGCAGTGTGCCAAATGCACACATGCACAGTGCACACCAAAAGAGGCTTGGGAAAGTAAGTAGAGCAGCGAGGGGGAGATCAGCTGTGACATGATTTAGATCTAGTGATTTTAAATCGCACAGCACAGCTGATCTTCAGAAATACCAGTTCAGAGGAACCGGTAGTTTTTATCACTACTGGTTCATCCAAACTGGTGCAAATGAGTAGCATTTCACCACTGAGCTAGAGGGATTTAAATTATTTAAAAGAAATAGACCAAATAAAAGAGGAGGTAAAGTTGCATTATATATAAGAAATAACTACATCTCTACAGAAATAGAGCACAACAATGATGAAAATTATCGTGAATGCATTTGAGTCAATATAGGTCTATATTATAGGCCATGCAATCAAACAGAGGAAATAGATGAACTTTTTTGCTAGTCAGCTAACTAAGGTATGTAGGAAGCACATCACAATAGTAATGTGGCCAGGACATCAACTGGGAGATAAACTCTGTACCAAGTGGAAGGTCCAACAGGTTCCCAACAAACCTAGCAGACAACTTTGTTTCCCAAAAAGTAGAGAAGGAACAAGGGGTTCAGCCATATTGGACTTAATTCTCACTAACAGAGATGAAATGGTAGAAGGTGTTGAAGCTACAGGAACCTTGGGGGCAAGTGATCATGCAATATTGGAATTCAACATTATGCAAGCACAAGTAGTAGAACAAAGTCAAACTAGAATCTTGGACTTTAAGAGAGCTAATTTCAATAAACTTAGAGAGAGCTTGGGAAGGATTCCATGAATGAGAATCCTCAAGGGGAAAACAACTCAAGAAGTTTGGGAAATTTTGAAAAGTGAGATTATAAAAGCCCAGTCTAGCACAATACCAATAAAGAAGAAAAATAACAGCTCTCAAAAGAAACCAGCATGGCTGCATAAAGAACTCTCTGACAAATTGAAAAACAAGAAGGGCAAGTATAAAAAGTGGAAAGTGGAAATAACTAAGACAGAATATCAGCAAATAGCCCGAGCCTGTAAGATGAAGTGAGGAAAGCTAAGGCTCACAATGAACAAAGGCTTGCAACAAAAGTAAAAAATAACAAAAAAGCTTCTTTCAACATGTTAAAAATAAGAAAAAAGTCAAGGAAACAATTGGCTCATTGCTGGGAGAAAGTGGGAAGAAGTGACAAGCAACAGGGAGAAAGCAGACTACTTAGCTCTTTTTTGCATCTGTCTTTACACAAAGGGAAACAACAGTCCAACCTATCAAAAACAGCACCACAAAGAACAGATTAGAAACACACATTAAAATAGGGAAGAAAATGGTAAATGAACACCTGTCTACCCTAGATGAGTTCAAATCACCAGGACAGATGGATTTGGTTCTGAAGGAACTGAAGGATGAAATCTCAGAACCACTGAACTAAATCTTTCAAAGATCCTGCAGCACAGGGGAATTGCCAGAGGGCTAGAAAAGAGCTGATATAGTTCCCATCTTCAAAAAAGGAAAAAAAAATAGATCCAGGAAACTACAAACCTATCAGCCTGACCTCAATACTAGGGAAGATTCTGGAAAAGATAATCAAGCAACGAATCAGTGAACACCTAGAAGCAAACAAAGTAACAGCCAAAAACCAACATGGGTTTGTCAAAAACAGATCATGCCAGACTAATCTTATTGCACTCTTTGACAAAGTGACAAAATTAGTGGACCAGAGGAATACTGTCGATATAATTTACATGGATTTCAGTAAGGCATTTGATAAAGTAGACCATAACCTACTACTAGATAAAGTAGAAAAATGTGGGTTAGACAGCATCACTTCCAGAGCACTAATAGGTTTCAATTTCAGTCACTACCAGTTTGCTTGTGGGCATGCGCACACACTCTCAATGCTTCTGTGCATGTGCAGAAACGTTTGGGTGGGTGGGCGGAGCCTCCTGCCACCGCAGCTACTGGTTCACCTGATTTGGGGTGAACCAGTAGCAACCAACCACTGCACTAGATGGATTCGTAGCTGGCTGACCAACCGCACTCAACGTGTAGTCCTCAATGGAACTGCATCTATATGGAGGGAAGTATGCAATGGAGTACTCCAAGGCTCTGTTTTAGGCCCAGTTCTCTTCAACATCTTCATCAATGATTTGGATGAAGAGATAGATGGGGAACTCAATAAATTTGCAGATGTGCAGAACTCATCAAATTTGCAGATGACACCAAGCTGGCAGGAAAAGCCAACACTCCAGAGGATAGGCTTAAGATACAGAAGGATCTTGACAGACTAGAACATTGGGCGTTATCTAACAAAATGAAATTCAATGGTGAAAAAAGTAATGTTCTACATTTAGGCAAGAAAAACAAAATGCACAGGTACAGTATATGTGGTACCTCACTCAATAGTAGTAACTGTGAGAGGGATCTTGGAGTCCTAGTGGACAACTATTTAAATATGAGCCAGCAATGTGCAGCAGTTTCCAAAAAAGCCAACACAGTTCTAGGCTGCATAAACAGAGGGATAGAATCAAGATCATGTGAAGTGTTAATACCACTTTATAATGCCTTGATAAGGTGACCAGTTTTGGTCGCCATGATGTAAAAAAGATGTGGAGACTTTAGAAAGAGTGCAGAGAAGACCAACAAAGATAATTAGGGGACTGGAGTCTAAAATACATGAATAACGGTTGCAGGAACTGGGTATGTCTAGTTTGATGAAAAGAAAGACTAGGGGAGACATGATAGCAATGTTCCAATATCTCAGGGGCTGCCACAAAGAAGAGGGAGTCAAGCTAGTCTCCAAAGCACCTGAGGGCAGGACAAGAAGCAATGGGTGGAAACTAATCAAGGAGAGAAGCAATTGAGAACTAAGGAGAAATTTCCTGACAGTTAGAACAATTAATCAGTGCAACAACTTGCTTCCAGAAGTTGTGAATGCTCCAACACTGGAAGTTTTTAAGAAGATGTTGGATAACCATTTGTCTGAAA